TTAACAAGTGCCTTGCATCATTTCCTGAATATACACAAGTTGAGACAACCTGCACATTCATGTAACTGTTCAGCAACGTTCTGTCTGCCTTACTACTGCGAAACCCAATGAACCTTTCGACTGAGCCAGAAATTAAGGCTTCCTTCACATTCCGCCCTCCAAAACAAACAAAGACATCCGAAATGATCCAAGTCGCTCTAGCAGTAATAATTATTCGTTCATAAGGATATTCACAGATAATTTTCTGAATGGCTTGATGTAACTCGATGTTGTGAAGTTTTCAGATTCAAGCAGATGGCTCGAGCTTAGCAATTTTCTGAAAATTTAGTTTCACTTACCTCTAATTTCAAGTCCTTCTTGTGCAGCCAACGAAACGTCATCCGAGTTAGCAATCTGTGCAGCCATCTGATCATTCAGTTCACCAGCTCGACTTGCTGCTTCTAACGCCTGTGGAGTATTCAGCTGCAATCACAGGTACAAAAGAAGTCAGAATTTTTCAGCGGAGCAAAGGCTGGGATAAATAATGGGGCAGCCAAAAGTCAAAGCCTCCTCAGTATTCACTTTTTATAAGAGACGGAGGCATTCGGTTGTAAGCTGAATGAAAGCAAGTGCCAGAAGCAACCGCCTGCTGATAGGGCTCCCAATGGATCCTTTACCGAGGGTTGCTTAGAAGCAAACTATCAGCGAATTGGATCCCTTGTGGGATAAAATTATCATCGAAACAAAGGAACGGATCACGAAAGGACTGGCTGTTCCATTAGCATACTGCTGAACGCTTAAACTTGAGGAACCATGTGTTGATCAAAGAGGGAACCATTTGAGTATAAAATCCTAAATTATAAACTCAATGTGGTGGCAGTAGTCAGCATACTTCTAACATATACAAGCCAGAAGCCACAAACCCGTCATGCTAAAAATTACGAGAAGTGAGGGCTTGCGATGCGATTTGAGTGGAGTTCTTTAAAAAATCACTGGCGACGCGCACCGGGCAGGCCATGCGATCATGCGTTTTTGCAGTGTTTCATGCAGTAATGAGATCGCTCAGAAACCCAGTAGCTAGGAATATGTGATATACTGGTCCTCGAAGTTCGGGAAGTTAATTGTCTAGGAGGTATTTGGACAGGGAACATTTCGTTGAAATTTCAGCTTTCCAAGTTCTCTGGTTCTTGAGTTAGCAATTTCCTGCCAAAAATTTTCACGGGGCCGCATGTGACAATCACTCACGTCCGGGCAATGAGTTTGATAAATTTAAGTAGTACAAGGGCTGAGAACATTTCAGCTGAAAATTTCAGCCCCCCAGCTTTCCTCGTCCCCGAGTTAGCCATTTCCCGCCAAAAAATTCACTGGGCCGTACATGAGAACCACGGATGTCCGAGAGCTGAATTTGAAAAGTTTAAGCTGTACATGTGCTAGGAACATTCTCCGAAAATTTCAGCTCCCAGCTTTCCTGGTTCCCGGACTAGCGATTTTCGCGCCAGGAACCCCCACGGGGCCATACGCGGGAATCACGCACACCTGGCGGTTGAATTTGAAATCTTTGAGTTTTATGTAGACGGGGAACATAATTCAAAATTTCAGGTTTCTAACTTTCCTGGTTCCGGAGTTAGCAGTTATCCCGCCAAAACTTTGACCGCCTCGTACGCTGGGATCAGACCTGCGTGAGGGTTGGTGCCGCGACCCTGGGGTAGCACTTGGCCGGGAAACCCACTCGCAAGCTTTTGGCGTCGGAGCCTGCTTGGGTGCCGAGTTGAAATATCCGGACACACACACACACACACCAGAGTCGTCGCAATATGCATTTTCACATTTGCATATATGCAGAAACACATAATCATGTTATTCACAAGGCTGTCAACGGCTCTATGTAACATAACCATGTAAAAGCTATGGAATACAAGCACACAAACCTGGGGTCCCTTCGGTCCAGATGAAGTAGGCTTCTTTTTCTTCTTTTTATAATGGGACTTATCATCGGATTTAGACCCCTTGTCCTTGCTACTGCCGTGCACTTTCTGTAAATCGCGTCGACCCGGAATAGAGCTATCAGCGAGTACCAGCGACATCGAGTCGGAGGAACTTGTTGATGCTTGATCGATTGCGAGCTGACCCGTCCCGGAACTGCCCGCGCTGGCCGTACTATAAAATAAGAGACATAAGAAATGTACACCGCTGTCAATGATCATTCTCCAAGGAGAGGAAGGGGAAAAAGGCCGCAGATACTCTAAAACTGCACATATCCGCGGATGTGCGATACACAAGGCTTCAATTTCCAATATATTTTAACCGTTTTCTATAAATTATCATGTAGTTTGAGTATTTTTATGCGTTTTTTGAAACTATGCAATGCAGAAAACGCATACTGGCGAGGGGTTGTCTGTGTGTGTCTGTGTGTTCGTCTGTACCGATTTTTATCTCTTTATATATGCCTTTACTGAAGCCCACCCACATCAAACTCAGCAGCCATAAGTTGCGCATATTCTTCTATTCTCTGTTTTTGTGGATTTTTACGCAATTCTATGATAGACTAACCCTACCTTAACGAAGCCATGTGCTTACATCTTTTTTTGCACGATAAGTACCACTAAGTAGGCCAATGACTAATACTACCAGTATACTCGCCCCTCCCTCAATCCCCGTCCTGCAGTTCACACCAGGAAGTAGCAATTAACAGAGTTTTTCAAAATCAAACAACTAACGGTTTCCGATCAACAGGCGCAATATTTGCTGGTAAGGGAGCAAATGTGGCAGGTTCCACCGAACAGTTCTTCGTGGCCGTTCCAATGTTTATCCTGGATATCAGCGATTGCGTCGGTGCAAGCATCACAGGCGGCGGAGGAGGTATCGAAGACACCTGAAAAACGACTTCCATGCAGTTCTGGTGAGAGAAAGTTTCTCGAAAAAAGTCAAACGAATGATGGCTGCTCGCCACGCTACTCACAGAAACAATCATATATCGGCCGCAGCGGGAATGGCACTAATTTTTATGCGTTTTTCTTTTTTTAGGGCTTTTTGAATTGCTATTTCGGCACTTAAAAAATTTTCGCTGAAATCCGAATGAACAAATTTGTGGTCCCACACTGACGGAAGCACACTTATTACGGTACGGTATTTACAATAGTGCTAAACCGATAATCATCGAAAACGAGTAAGCAATAATGTTAAATGAACGCTGAGAAAGCCACCAGCAACAAATTTCTATCTGAAGGCGCCCTATGTGTAGCTACATAGATGCGATAAGCTCACTCAAAGCCGGAAAAAAAGACAGCAAAAATATATTAAAAAAAATTGACAGCAAATTTGCAGGAAAAATATGACTCAGCCAATGGAGAAATTAGTTCTGTTCTAAAATCAAAAGTGATCCGCGCTGAGCAAGAGCTCTGTGCAATTGCTGAATCATGCCATATGAGTTTCCAAGAAACCTACCACTGT